ACCCCCAACCCCCAACCAGTCTTTTTGGTTCATCATGTCAGGAGAGTAGTTAAAACTAGTTCTTTAAGTTTTAAGTGGGAAATCCCTAATTAATCCCTTGCTAAATCCTCACCACATTTTTTTAAAAAAATGATAAGCTTTCTTAATGAGTTTTTATTTTATAGTTTGATATAATTTAAATGATAAAATAATTTTTTGTTCTTTAAATTAGGCTAGAGCTGGCTATGGGCTTGATGATAAGAAAAATGGATATCAACTCACATAACATTTCATGAGACTTCGACTATTAAATAAATCTAGTGATTACAGTACAATTTCAATCCTAGAATTTTTGGGTAAGCAATTACTTTATTTTTTATTGTTCGGCATAGAAGGGCCGGCTAAGGGAAGTGAAGGAGTTTGAATCTTGAACCTTGGTTCTAGTCAATCACAAAAAGTCACATGCTCTGAGACTCTGCCAATCTTAGCATTTGAGCAAAGCATTATCAACAAATGAAATAATTCTACTAAAAACAATAGCTTAATTGAGTTGCCCAAAAGAATTTAGTTGATAGGTTTTCGAACCTTTAACAAGTAAATCTTGTAGGCATAACAACATGTTGGTATGAGTGAAAGAAATTTTGTTCTCATTAAATAAGATCTCGAATTTGAGTTTTGTGAACAGAAAAACAACATTGAGAAGGATTCTTCCTAATGAGATCTGATGAGATTAGATTCTGAATTATTAGGCACTCAATGTGGTTCTCGGATACCAGAGGTTAATATAAAAAAAATAAATAAATTCTTTTAAACCAATTTATATTGTGAAAAATCATTTATATATATAATTTAAGATCTAAGAAATGATAATAAAAATACTTAAATATTTTTAATGAATTAATATATAAAAATTTCATTTAAAATAATTAAATAATTTTATAAACAATCCTAACATTTTGAATAGTTGGACATACTGATTTTCACCTTTTTCATTTTTTGAATTAGTTGTTGGCCAGTGGCCACCAAGTACTAATACATGTTGGAGTCCTTATCACTAGCACAAAATGCTTATGATGCATTGACCATCATGTTGAGAGTCCCTTTTAAAGGTTTCATGTTGGAATTTTTCAATGTTTAAATATTAAAAGTTGCAGTCTTAAGAAAATAAATGATGCTTAAAATTCTTAATCCCACTTGATAGGACATGTAAGTCATTATTTGGAAAGTGAAAGAGCACACATGTCAACTTGGACCCCAACTCATTTCCATCTTCCTATTTAATCCCTCTCCTAAACAAGCAACAAAAACCAAGCAATGAATCTCCTCAAATAAGCAACCAAAAAAGCCAAAGCTGTGTCTTCTAAGACACAGCTAAGCTGCCTCAAAACAAAACCATTCTTCCTTTCTTTAAATCATCGGAACAAACCAAACCCAACTCAACCCAACCCAACCCAACTCGACCTAAGGTAAAAAAAATGTCAGAGCAACAACACACCGCCAACCTCGACCCACCGACGGTCCCCAACGTCATCGCCTTCCTCTCTTCTCTGCTCCAGAGGGTGGCTGAGTCCAACGATCTCGGCCTCCGCTTCCGTCCTCAGAGGATCTCCGCCTTCCACGGCCTCTCACCGCCGACGATCTCCGTCCAGAGCTACCTCGAGAGGATCTTCAAGTACGCGAATTGCAGTCCGTCGTGTTTCGTGGTGGCGTATGTTTATTTAGACCGGTTCGTGCAGCGGCAGCCACTTTTGGCGATCAATTCTTTCAATGTGCATCGGCTGATCATATCCAGCGTTCTGGTTTCCGTCAAGTTCATGGATGACATGTAAGTTCTTCTTCTTCTCCAAGTTTTTCTTTGATTCTATCAATGTATAAATTAAGATAAATTTTCCATCTTCTAACACAATTATGAGAATCAGTTTTTGGAAATTCTGAGTCGATGGTGAGAACATGAGAACATAAGATAAGTATCCAACCTAAAAACTAGTTAAGAATAGGCGGATTAGCACTTTTTTATTTTCTAAGTCCTTCCTAAGAAAACAGAAACAGGGTATCAGTAATGGAATATATATATATATATGCAAATTATTGGCAGATTTCAGTAACAAATGCTCTGTTTTCTTGTGATGTTCAAAATTGATTTTTAACTAAAAATTTCACTCTGATTTTTTTATTCCGTGTGTTTTTGTAAAATTTGAAATCCCTTGTTTTACATTTTTAATTACTGATCGAATCATGTTAGACTATAGTTTTTCACAAATTTGTTTGGTTTGACTTAGACAATAAAAGTTGTAATTATTAGTTAATAATTGATGAAATAGCTAATATGTTAAAATTAATTTATAAATTGATATTTTTAAATATTTTAACTAGTTAAAAAAATTATAGTTTAATAAAATTAACTAAATCAAGCACAATTTAAATTTGTATAATATAATAAAAATAAA